ATTTTATCAATATTCAAAGTAAACATTTCATTGAACTTATTCACTTTTAAAGGCTTCAGTTCTTGACTTACTAAAAATACCTCTAAATTATCTAATAATGAGCCTTCATCTTGTTCACAATTGGCACCATAACTTTTTCTCGAAACTAAATTACTTAAGTCAGATATCTTTAAATTATATACAAATTGAAAACAATTAGGGTGAGTATTTGCAGCTCCATACTGTATTATGGACCCAAACATATTTTCAATAGGATCTTGGTTTAAAGATCTGGGTCTTAAATATTTCATCCCCAATGAAGAACATGTTTTAAATAAATCACGAACCCTATTAATGGCAGCAGTTTTTAAAAGGTAAACTCGATTTTACTTTATTATTTTTCCTTACAAATTTAGGATGAAATTACCAATTCTTTATTTTACTTTCAACTTTTTCTCAAAATGTAGAATGTGCCGATTTCTTTGAAATACACCTTCTTAATGGTTTCCCACAATCTGGAGTTGGTTTACTTCCATTTAAACTATAAAATAAATATTCTTTGTCTTCCACAAATTTATTCCCATCGTATTGAATATGGTAATTAAACAAAGAATTTCTAGTGCACTTAAGTAAATGACAAATGTCAAAAAGAGTTATTATTTTCTGTCTATTTAAAAAAAAAATGTGGCACTAAATTTGGTACAGTCCCGCCCTTTGTTTGCAATGATCTTAAAGCTACCCTATTTTCCCCCATCAAATCACAAACAGTTGCCAAAACCTTCAAACCTATATTTTAAAGAGCCGTATTAACATCTTTAATCAATTAAGTAAGATCTTTACTATTTACAGCATGATGTGTAAAATAATATGCTATACGTTGTTTCCAAACTTTTCCTAAACCATGTATCATAAAAACTAAAGCATGATCAGCTACTTCTGGATGTCTACCTAATTTTTTTTCCAAGTCAACATATCCAAAAATGTTGTCATTAACTGTATCAAAAGTGAGTTTTTCGGTTAAAGCTATTTCATCGAACATTAAAATACAATTCATATCAATTTCAGGCATTTTATTAACAATTTATTTAAATCTGGAAAATACTGAAATATTTATACCCGTTTCAAAAGGTAAATCACTTAAAATTTGTTGGATAGTAGATTTACTAGGCAACGAAATGAACTGTTTTAAAAAAATTATATACTCTTGGATCAGAGGGTTTTTTCTAAGCTACTTTTAAAAAATTTCATTCCAACCGGATCTAATTTCTTATTAAAATCTTAAAACAACTGAGTTTTGGATAATTCAAATGCCCTTTCGGTTTCATTTTTGGAAACACTGACCGCTTTCTTTAATTTGCAAATTCTAATATTTTGTTCTCTATTAATAAAATAAAGCTTTTTCTCTTTAGGAGTTAAATTTTTGACTCTACTTTCATTTAATTGTTGCAAAACAGTTTTTCTCCGTTTGGAGTGTTGTTCAAATTGTTTATCACTAGTACTAAGTACGTTTGCAACTAATTTCTTGTTTTCCATTGAAGATTAGTAAATTTATCTTTTGGTGCTGTATGTGTGCTTCAGCCTCAACATTTTCTAAAATTTGAGTATATTTGGGTATAGTTGAACTGGATGTACTATTATCTATTATAATTGGTACAGAATTTGCAATTAGTCGTTTATGTTTTGAAGCAATTTTACTAAAAGACTCTGGAAAAAAATGATCTTCACAGAGATATCAAATTTTATTATCTAAAAATAAATTTATAAATACTTCATCAAATGGACACTAAGCAATTTTCTTAACATAAAAATAACTTACCTATCTATGGAACTACATCATAATAACTTTTATTTCATGATGGATTTTGTGGGTTTTTCGACCATTTCGCCTACCGCCATTCCGTTTTTCATTTTTTACGAGGTTGTTAAACCTCTCTTTAAAATATCCCAGAAATAGCATGGCCATTGTATGGATGGTAACGAGCACAACAAAAACAAAATTTGGTGAGCTTATGCGTTTGAAATAACTCTAATCTCATGAAAGTTTCTGGAAACTGGCAACATCGCTGCTATCTTATTTGCGATGGTGGCTCCAAATAATATGGCCGGAACTACCCATTTGTTACCAGTGCCATGTATTTAAACGGTTTATCTTTTAATATTAATTTATCTATGTAGTGCACCGCCGACAGAGACAATATAGAAATTAATCTTGTATGAATGTAATAAAAATCTTTGATAATATATTGACAGATAGGCTACCCCTGCATAAATCTATACAATGTTGATGTCGCTCTAATAAAATCATTGTTTCTTTTTCTAATGCAGGATTTCTCGCTCATATTAGAATCTTCAGTAGTAGAGTTACGTAAACGGATTGCATTGGGTTATTTTAAATGTGAAAATAGTGACTGCAAATAGATTAAAAAAGTACAAAATATTGTTTTGAAAGATGGGTACGTTTTTATTGAACTGAAAACAAAATATGACATTATTGTCTTGTCAAAAAAAATATAATAAATATTTTATTGCTTCTAAAATATTTAGAATTACGGCGATGATTTGTAATTCTATAAAATATCTATACCTGTTGAAAAGCTATACAATGGTAGAACTGAAGAAATACATACAGCATTTAATTTAAACATGACAAAATATTCCTAATAAGAATAAAACAAAAAGCAAAAAAGTCTTCGTAATGACCGATTTTCTATAAACTTCAATGTAAAGTTACCATAATATCTAGGTTTTCTGAAATAGGCATTCATATACAATTTAATGTATCAGCTTAGATCAAATCCAATGGTTGATTTACTTCTTAATTAATGGTGACTCAAATTTTGTTGATGAGAATTTCAGAGTCATACCTTGAACTTAATATTGAAGTGTATGAGGAACTTTTGTTCAAACTATAACTTCTTTTATTTGTTGGCAAGTTTAGTACTCTTAAAGAAGGCCCATAATCAAATAATTTAGGATCTGAAGAAATTACTATACTAAAAACATTCAAACATATTATTGGTTTGCCAAATTTATTAAACACAATACCTTCTATTTTTTTTAGGTGACATGGGTTCACCACTACTCTTATTTTTCTACTTTGTTTGTGTAATACAAAGTTCCTAAAAAGTAAAGATACAATTTTTAAAAGTGCTCTATATTATTTAGAAACGTACAAACTTATAAATATATTTGTTGCAGCAAAGCCGTCCTCTAAAAAGTGCATTGAACAAAAGTAATATATTCGTATAACTTCTAACATTTCAGTCCATTCAAGTGCCTCTAACCATCAGTTTCTTCTAATTCGTATTTAAGAACACTTATAATAATTTTTTTTTTTAATGCATATGTTATTTTCCTTTTTTCTCCTAAAACGACGCCCATGTTCTTCGGTAAGAAATAATATTAGGTGAAACGTAACCTCACTTCCTCTGTTATATTTAAAATCACATAAAACACAAGTCTTTTCCTAGTATAAAATAAACCCTACAAATCAGTCACTTTTAACACCACCATACTTGAATGAATTTAGGTAAAAACTTTAAAAATGGTCTAAAAATAACTGGAAAAATAAATATAGAGATAGATATATTAATCTATTTCTCTCTAATTAGAATATTTCATGCGATATCAAGGCGACAAAAAAATTGTTTACTGTCCTCTCTGTACTACTCTGAGATAAAAATAATAAAATTAAATTTATATTTTTGTTATTTCTATGTGATTTTAAAATAATGTCTTTTTATAATATTTAACTGGGTTTTTACTGCAAAAATAAATTAATGGAGAAACCGCCCTTGCCCCACAGCCATAGATTAAACAAAGTGGTAATGAAACAGATATCGCATCTACCTATTCAATACTGGACGTTAATAAATACTATCCATACATGCCTAGGATAGTACAAGGTTTACCGGCAAATAATTTTCCCCGAAGAGTAAGATTTTGTAATTCGTACAATCAAAATTAGCGAGAAAATGCTAATTTTTCCATAAAAATATGATTAACTCAATAAAATTGATTTAACAAATTACGGAGTTTTCAACAGACATAATATTCATCACTAGGCTATAAAAACCCAAAACTCACCTCACAATATGTTAACAAACCTCGAAATATACGTAAGCTAAAAGATCAAGTCAGGCAAGAAATGCAGTGCAAATTATTTGCTCAGGGCTAAATGCTCTCGTGATCAATTTTCATCTGCCACACACATGACGTCACTCAGAGAGGAATATTTTCATTTGCATGTTCTAAATATGGATCATTCTCGATGCGCTACAATCAATGGGCCAGATACCATGAAGTCACTCACAGAGTGCTTTTCATTTGCACATCAAAATAAGGACCGCCCACGGTGCACAACATCCCATCTTTAGGTGGGTATATCGTGCTACCTACCATGCTACAAAATGTAAAAGGCAAATTAATTTCCCGGTTAAGTCATTTTATAGCGGTTAATAAAGAACGATGACCATCCGATAAATTTTTATAAAAAAAAATTGAGATATCTCTTCTGCAAACGATAAAAACTAAACTATATTTGAAGTATATCCTGAATAAAAAATCTCCGTCCTTCCATCTACTGTCATAGGTTAATGTTTTAAAATTTTATACCTTATACACAGAGAGAAATTTATTCAAGTAGGTATGTAACCAAGAATGCATATTTCAAATTCAGCATGACTCTAGTTCAAAATAATCTTTATTTTAATCCTAGCATTCTTAAATTTATAATACCGTGATCGATTTTTGAATCAAAACTTATTAAGCAACAACGTTAATTTCAAATAAAATCAACGAATTTTTAGCATGCAATTTTTTAAATAAAGATTGTCGGATGCTTGGCTTAAAAACAAACCCGAAAATGCTTACTGTTTGCTTAAAATGAGCATGAATTTCTCTCTATGTAAGAACTACTGCAATTCCCTTAATTATTAAATTTTTAAATGTAATGATTACATTGGTCTGACTGCTACTTAGATTATTATCGATGGTAAGTTATGTATAATTTTTTTTTGTAGTATGTGGACCTCATGAAATTTTTAACAGTTGCGGATCACCATGTAGACGTGAGTCAACATGCCAAAATGGAAACCGTTTCCCAATATCTGGTGGTGCTTGCATAGCATTATGCGAACCAAGATGCGAATGCGACGTTAGAAATGGTTGGATCAGATCTCGCCTCAATGGACCTTGTATTAACACATCAGCGTGCAAGCGTTATTAAGCATGCAATTTGAAAAAATATGATATTTTATCGTAGATAAAGATTAGAGAGGAATTGAAAAATGTATTTTATTAATAAAAATTTAAATAAATTAAAAATCGAATGTATTTAATATGAACCTAGCAAACCATTCGAAGTATTCAAAATAAAGAAATTTATTATAAGTAGCGGAACAGAACCAACATGAGATTGTAACCTATAAATACTGTTCTTAAATTAAAGTACATAATCTCTATGTAGTTTGACAAATATGTTTTTATTTTGTATTTACTACTAGCCTTTCATTGGTAAGCAATATGGGTCGTCAGTTGTAATAATTAATAGTTAATTTATATTAACCTTTGTTACTTGTGAACTGCCAAAGCAATTCGTAAATTGATATTTAATTTAGACTAGCATTTAGATATATTTTTATCAAACTTATTACTTCCCTTAATAGGTCTTAATCCAATTGTACAACAAATAAGCATATGAGACTGTAGTTTTCTCAGTCGTGAATTCAGGCTTTTCTAATAAACACTTTTGGGAAATATTTTTAGGGTATCTGGGGGCCAATTACTCTTTTTTATTTTTAAAAAGCTAGTTGAGAATTATAAATGACAAAATTAACTGATGAACTCAAAGTTGTATATAATTTTAGTCGAAAATCAATTGAAAATAATATTAAAAATGATCCAAAACAATTCTGGTCATACATAAATTCTAAAAATTCTTCCTATTCCTATTGACTGTATAGAAGATCCACAGGCAATTGTTCAAGGTTTTGCAGATCACTTTTTAAGCAATTTCTTCAAGCCAACTCAAACAAATCACTTCATCCACGAATCTATCACTAATTTACCTTTGCTTCACTATAATTCTGTATCTCAAGATGAAGTTATTAGAGTCCTAAAAAAGCTTAAGCCCAATATTTCAATGGGTACTGACCTTATTCCTTCGTTTCTTGTCAGAAACTGTGCACTAATTTTGGCCACCCCGTTGAAACATATTTTTATTTTAATTTTGAAAACATGTATTTTCCCTACTACCTGGAAAATTTCCAGAATTACTTCGGTTTAAAAAAGGTAGCAAAAATAATATTTGTATTTATCGACACATAAGTATTCTTTGCAATTTTGCTAAAGTATTCGAAACAATTACTCACGATCGTATTTCCAATCATGTTTCCTGTCTTATATCGTGTGACCAACATGGATTCATGAAAAATAGATCTACATTTACAAACCTTGATGTTCGATGCAATTCATTTCGGAAGCCTTGGATTAAAGAAGTCAAGTTGATGTAATATACACAGATTTCTCTAAGGCCTTCGACAAAATTGATCATTCCATCTTGCTCCACAAGTTAAGTTCCATTGGTTTATGCGATCAAATCATTTGATTGGTTCGTATTTGTTGGGTAGGCATCATTATGTTCAATGTCGTGGTTACAGGTCAAAAAATTTCGAACAAACATCAGGAGTTCCGCAGGGATCAATTTTAGGTCCTCTTTTATTTATAATTTTTATAAATGATATAGTCGCTAATATCGAGCATATTAAAGTTTTAATGTATGCCGACGATCTAAAATTATTGCTTGAAATCAATTCTGTTAACCATTGCTTGCTACTTCAAAAGTGTTTTTTCGACATTGCGAAGTGGTGTCTCGATAATTTACTCCCTCTAAATCCTGAGAAATGTTCTGTAAGGTCCTTTACTAAAAAATTCACACCTATAATTTTTTATTATAAACTACAGAACATTGTTCTAAATCGACCCGAATATATAAGAGATCTCGGTGTTTATTTTGATCCTGAACTAACTTTCGTTAAACACATTAAAACGATGTTATCTGCTGCTAACAAGAGCTTAGGGTTTGTTATTCGAAGCTGTAAAGAATTCTGAGACATATTCACCTTAAAAATTCTATGTATTAGCTTTGTACGATTAAAACTTGAATACTGTTCTCTTGTTTGGAATCCCGTGCATAACATTTATATTGACTTACTCGAAAAAGTTCAAAGAAAATTCACGAAATCGGCTTCCTACATTTTAGATGGTATATCTACAAGGGGACATCCCCACGCTTTACTAATATCTAGATTCAATCTTTCAGAGCTCGTGGAACGCAGAAATTCCCAACAGGTACTCCTACTTCATAATCTTTTAAATGGATCAGTCGGCAGTATTGATTTGTTAAATTACGTTAATCTAAAAATCCCCCGTGATGGTTTAAGAGTTTACTTGAGTTTCTACATGCCAGCTTCTAGAACTATTGTTTTGAACTCATCTCCAATGTACCAATCTATTCAAAAATATTATGAAATTAAAGACAGCTTGGACATTTTTGCATGTAAAAATTATATGAATAAAAATGTTTTTTTCTTTAACAATGTAAAAAAAAGATGTAAAGCATGTAATGCAATGCAGACAACCATTTTTTTTTAATCCTGTGTTCGGTCAGTTTTTTTATCTGGATGTTTTCATTGTATTGTATAGCTTTATAACAATTTTGTATTTGTATTTTTATTCTAATGTTTTGTCTTTCCCACCCAGGCGATTACTGTTGGGTGGTGTAACAAATAAATAAATAAATAAAAAGAAATTGTCGCACCAAGAAAGAGATGAGAAATAAGATTCAAAATACAACCTGACTCTCCTTGAATGGCTTTACCAGATCTATATTAAGATACAGAAGTGGGAATCGGGACGTTGATTATCTGCAAGTCAACTCAACGAGTCGACTTTTTTCTTGATATGTTATGGTTACAACAAACTTTGAAATCGGAAATCAGAATTTTACCTTTAGACTGCCATATATTCGCTCTCTAAATAAAAAATATATTCTTATTTTCACGATGGCCTTACAAGAAATATAAGTAAAATTCTCAAATAACTATTTTGAAATTTCCAAGAATTAACAAATCAAAAAATTTACTTTTTGATTGTATTAAAATTAATAATAATCAAATAAAATTCCAACAACATAAAAAGAATTAATATCGAATAATTCAAAATAAATCTTCAAAAATTATACTTGTAATTAAAAAATAGATAGAAATGTAAATATTATTTATATTTTTCCAATAACATTAAAAAACTTACTGCTTTATCGCAATCAAGCACTTCACCGAAATGTTATTTCAAGTCAAAGATTGATTTAGGGGAAAGAAAGCAGATGATGAATTCAAACACCGATTCGTGAGTTTTTCCCCCTCTTCACAACGCTCGTCGCGCCAACAAACACATTTTTAAAATTTTTAATAGAAATTAAATTATATATAGTTTCATTTAAAGTACCATTTTTAAATATGATTTTTAAATGGTAAATGTCTTTACCATTAGTTAAGGAAAAACATTACCAATATAAACATATAAAAGTGACTAAAATTAAGAAATTAAGTAACATAAATATTGAAAGTTACCTAGTAAGTACTGTCATTCGTCAAAAGTAGTTCTATTCGAGAAAAAAATTGTTCGAATAAAACACACTGCCCTCTTAAGGAAAAATTTAAAATGTTTCAAAATTTTAATTTAATTTAATTTTAAAATTAAACTTTCATATAGAAAGGCGTTAATATAGTATCTGCCTTATTTTAATTTCACGAGACTATTGTAATCAAATTACAAACAAAATAAAATATTTAAATTTGTTTATCAAAAAATTAACGTAAGCTCTGTAGTGAGCATTTTGGTGAAAATGCTCACATCACAAAATGCTGAACAAGAAAAATAAAAATTAAAGAAAAGAAATTAATATATAACATATATGGGGACTTCAGAAAAAGTTTCAGAATATTTTTAAAGCTCACAATGTAACCTTCAAAATTGGTTGAAACTACTAAATAAATAAAATCTGTAAAGATAAGCAAACTACGCATAACCGGTCACGTGTGATCATTTTTCAAGATACTCACGGCTTAGCTTCAGTGAAGACTGGTGTGGTCCACAAAAAGAATATGCATGTTAATGTCTCAGCAAGCATTTTCGATATTATTAGCTATAACTCGACTTGTATAAAGTCAAATCTACTTATTGAGGTAATTATTACGTAAAATTGACTAGAAAAATATACCTGTACTTTAAATTTACCAAATGGTTCTAATTTATGTATAAATTGACGTATATTATACCAAGAAATCTACCTCGTACACATATCTACTTAAAAGTAACTTTAACCAAATCAGAAAGGAGAAAACTACTAACAAAAGTAACCAAAAATTTCCTCAAAGGTAAATTTCCTTTAAAGTAAAATTAGGTATCATAATTAGGTAACATCTACCTGTTTGGCAACTAAAAATCGTCTTTATAGTAGAATATCATACTAAGTAGATTTGGTTGAACATTTTTTGTAACTTTATACCTATATAGTAACCTATTTGGATGCTTTATTTACTCTACTTTAAAGTAATATTAGATCGACATTGTAAAAAAATTATACCTTGTTTTTCTACTTAATTTCAACCAAATAGTCGCTAACTCATTTAGTTGACCTAAAAGTCATCCTGAATAAATAAATATTAACTTTATTGTACCAACTACCTGAAAAATCTACTATAAAGTAAGTTCGACTATAGATCACCAATTTAAAACCTGCCATACATAACCTATTTGTAAAAATTATATTATTTAGGTTATTTTAACAATTAGATTGTTCATTTATTGTCTTCGTCATTATTCTTAAGAATTTCGGCCATTTTAAAAAACCGTTACAATGGTAAACTTAGTTCTCTTGCCGTATAGATAGAGCTATAAATAAATGCAAAAAGTAATAAATAATACACTTTCGATTTTTTTCGTATAGTTAAACGTTTTAAATCTTAAGTGTAGTATAACGTGAAAAATAAACAAATTACTACAGTATCCAGCAAATTGATTTTCAACACACGTTAAATAAAAATTTCCACTTAATATAGCTGAAATTTACTAATAGTTAGCATTTCCAAAAATAGGGTGACCTAAATATGTTACATTTACCAACAGGTAAATGTTTGATAAAACTTACAAGTTAATAATTCTTTAAATAGGTAAAGTTACCTAAAATGTCGTTATCTTTAAGGTAATTCAACTTAGTCAAAATCTATTTGTAAAATACGTAGATTTCCATAGTCGTA